AATGACACCTAGTCTGTTTCGGATAGGAATGATTCAGTAGAGAAGGGAGTAGTAATGAGGTTGGGGAGGAAGGGGACAACTGTTGCAGGAATGTCCTTGAGCAGGTGCACCTGATGGCCTCATTTCACAAGGAGAGCTGCTGGCCTCAGGCAGAAGCTTGGACACCTTTTGAAACAAGGACCACAGCCTATGCTCACTGGTCAGGGGCACAGTCGGAGTTCGGAATGTTTCTTCTGACATTAGATTTGCAGTGATGTAGAAAACAAAGCTATCACCTGAGAGACAGTGTAAGAGGCTGGAGTGGGACCAGCAGATGGTGTAATTGTTACGTTGCTGGACTCCAACATAGCCGAGCTTGGTTTGAGTCCTGGACCCACAGGCTTGAAATTCACACCAGGCATGTGTGCTCAAAATCCCAAGGGGAGAATGAAGGACACAGAATTGCAGCGTGGCCATCACCGCTGGGGGGTGATTTCTCACTTTCTGTCTCTCTGATAAGCACATGTGCCCTATAGCAAAAATCTCTCTAAATAAATACATTAAACGAAAAGGCGCAGGATTTTTCTTTTCTTTTTTTAGAGAGATTTTTGCTATAGGGTACGTGTGGTCACCAGAAAGACAGAGAGAGATGGAGAGACAGAAAGCAAGAAATCACCCCCCAGGGAGGATGGCCACGCTGCAATCCCTTCTCCTCCATTCTCCTCTCAGGATCTTGGGCACGCATGCACATGTGCCCGGCGTGAGTTTAAGCCACTGGGTCTGGGACTTGAACCACACTTGACTACATGGGAGTCCAGCAACATAGTCATTATGCTAACTGTTGGTCCCAAGGCACAGGATGTTTTAAGGGAGAGAAACAGGCATAAGGGTTTTTCAGGGGTACAGGAGAGTATTCGAGCATGATTACAAAGCAGCATGAAGGGTACCCCTTGAGGATTGTGGTCATGAAGTGAGACCATGTGACTGAGCCCTGCCCACCAGCATCAATGCTGTGGTGACTGGAACATGGTGGGGTTCACCCAGAGTTACGGTTCTGATAAACGAGGATGAAGAGCGAGGTGGGCAATGAGGATGAGGGTTCACCTAAGGCAAGGATCATACAACTAGCCGTGGAATTTTCATTAGGAAAGGGGGGAGGGTGTTAAAATCAATGGACCAGGTCCCGTTGGGGGTGGAAAGATGGTTGGAACCAAGGTGTTGGAAAGGATGAACTACTTAGAAAGAGAGGAGGTGGAAGTTGGAGTGCAGGATGCCTGAAACAAAGATTACAGAGGTTCAGAGCTGTTGGTAATACTGTGGACGTGTGGGCTGAGGTAGGGCAGCGGACAGGATGTTAGAGGCCAGGAAAGGAAGGAAGTGATGGGGAGGAAATCACAAGGGTTCTATTTGTATATATTGAAATGATTAAGAATTAATATGGGATAAGTGTTGAAATGAGTGATAATGATTTAGGATCTAAAAGTGATCAGAAATGAGGGGGCTTGACTATCCTAATGACCTCCTCCTATTGACTCCTTGAAAGTGTCTCTTCATTAAATAGCTCGCGATGGTGGAGTCCAAGACACCCAACGCTGGACGGCTGGGATGGACAGCAGTTTATCAGTCGCACATACCCACAGCCTGAGAGGACACTGCATGCCTATAGGGTACGTGTGGTCACCAGAAAGACAGAGAGAGATGGAGAGACAGAAAGCAAGAAATCACCCCCCAGGGAGGATGGCCACGCTGCAATCCCTTCTCCTCCATTCTCCTCTCAGGATCTTGGGCACGCATGCACATGTGCCCGGCGTGAGTTTAAGCCACTGGGTCTGGGACTTGAACCACACTTGACTACATGGGAGTCCAGCAACATAGTCATTATGCTAACTGTTGGTCCCAAGGCACAGGATGTTTTAAGGGAGAGAAACAGGCATAAGGGTTTTTCAGGGGTACAGGAGAGTATTCGAGCATGATTACAAAGCAGCATGAAGGGTACCCCTTGAGGATTGTGGTCATGAAGTGAGACCATGTGACTGAGCCCTGCCCACCAGCATCAATGCTGTGGTGACTGGAACATGGTGGGGTTCACCCAGAGTTACGGTTCTGATAAACGAGGATGAAGAGCGAGGTGGGCAATGAGGATGAGGGTTCACCTAAGGCAAGGATCATACAACTAGCCGTGGAATTTTCATTAGGAAAGGGGGGAGGGTGTTAAAATCAATGGACCAGGTCCCGTTGGGGGTGGAAAGATGGTTGGAACCAAGGTGTTGGAAAGGATGAACTACTTAGAAAGAGAGGAGGTGGAAGTTGGAGTGCAGGATGCCTGAAACAAAGATTACAGAGGTTCAGAGCTGTTGGTAATACTGTGGACGTGTGGGCTGAGGTAGGGCAGCGGACAGGATGTTAGAGGCCAGGAAAGGAAGGAAGTGATGGGGAGGAAATCACAAGGGTTCTATTTGTATATATTGAAATGATTAAGAATTAATATGGGATAAGTGTTGAAATGAGTGATAATGATTTAGGATCTAAAAGTGATCAGAAATGAGGGGGCTTGACTATCCTAATGACCTCCTCCTATTGACTCCTTGAAAGTGTCTCTTCATTAAATAGCTCGCGATGGTGGAGTCCAAGACACCCAACGCTGGACGGCTGGGATGGACAGCAGTTTATCAGTCGCACATACCCACAGCCTGAGAGGACACTGCATGCCCTACAGAACGGGCCGTATGAGGTCGGACTCGGGAATGGAGTGGGCCAGCAGAGACTGGAGGCAGCCATCATAACAAGAGGATGAAGTGGGCCTGGTTCTCACGGCAGGATGTGATGGGCACGAATAACTTCCCAGACTTGAGGGACGTGAGCCCATAAGGTCAAGGACCAGGTGAGTGTGGCTGGGGCAGTCAATATGGGAAGCGGTTGGGTGGGAAGCTCTCCTGCTGGGTGGGGGTGCATCTGGAGACAGCAAGGTAAGTCACAGTCAGGCCTCTGGGGCCCTGTGAGGCTCAAAGACGGAGAGTAGTGCTTGAAGTTTTAGGCCTGACGATGCACTTGATGTAGGATGATGACTTGGGCAATGAGGCAGCAGGGGACAGTCTGCTGAAACAAGATTCAGTTGGGAGGTTGTAGGGAGAGGGAGCAGGGGCGTGCAAGTACTTTCCTGCAGACGTGCTGCTCATACGAAGGAGGGGTTCTTCAAGGAGCAGGTCTGCAGAGATCTCTGGGAGCTGGTGGCTTTCTCAGGTCCAGGCATGGCTCTGCCTTCTAGAGCCCCAAGGGCCCCCTTAAGGTTTTTCTAACTTGACTGGGATTTTGCCTTGGGAATTTTGTTTCCTCGTTTTTGAACAGAAAAAAAGAACATCCTTAAGAGGGTTCCTTCCTTCCTTCATCTCAGGGACATGAACTTCCCAAATAGAGAGGAATCACATCCATGACTGAAAGAGTTCTTCCTGAGAAGCCTGTCTTTGTAGTTCACACCCACACAGGCACGAAGTACTTCAAAAAGTTCAAGAGTGGGCCAGCCCTGTAGCCTAAATATTAAAAGAGCCAGATCCCACATGGCCAGTTGGGCAGTTTGACTCCCAACTCTGGCACTGTGAAACACATACCAAGCACATGTGTGTGCATGGCTAAACTCCCACGGGGATTGAGATGGGATTGCAATATGACTACGCCCCATGTTTTCTTCCTCTCCCCCTCTCTGTCTCTTTGGCAAACACGTATACCCTCTAAAACAAAGGTTCATGAAACACAAAATTCATGTACAAGATTATTTTGGTGCAAAGAAAATTGGACATCCATCCATGGTTTCACAATACACACTTCCACATGTGTACATCAAAGGCTCCGTGAGAGTCCTACTGTCCCTTAGCCCTCACTCTGCAGCCACATTCGCCCTTGAAATGTCACTCCTCTCTCCGGTCCTGTCCATTCCTCTGACTGTGGGCGAGGAATTAGGCTGACACCAAGTACACTCCACATCATTCCCAACACTGACAGCCACTGCTACTGATGACACTTTCATGTTTATTCTTCTGAGGAGCAGAGAGCATAACACAAAGTTGCACCCTTTCTAATCTTTTCGGGTTTTTTTTTTTCCCTCATTATTTCCAAGCTTACAGGTTTTGTGTGGCCATCAGTTGTCTTCAGAGGGGACACTGCCATTTCCCACCGTTAGCAACTGTCCTGCGTGGCAATCGGTCACCTGATCTGCCTGGATGGTAAGTGTCTCCCTGACATGTTATAAATGACATTGATTTCACAGTGAGGTGTTTTCCCACTCACTGGATGAGGGCAAGGGGCCGTGTGAAAGCCAACGTAGTGGGTTTGATTACAAACGTAAAGGAAACGTTATGGAGAAGGAGAGAGTGACAGGTATGTTTTTCTAACATCGTGTTTTGAAACGTTAATGTCTAGTTTTCTTTGGAAATTCATGGCCTTTTACTCTAATATTTTTACTGATTAGAATTTTCTTATCCTTTATTTGTCGATCACTGCTTCTGCTCTGGTTTCATCCCTTTAATACTAAAGATGTTATTAAATAAAAGGTAAAAAGTAAAGCTTCTGTTCCGTTTTTAAAATTGGAACTCTATCTCCTGAATCAAGATAAACTTGAGTTTCCTAATTGAACAACACACCTCTCGGTGTATCTGTGTGCCACCACATCCAGTTCGTCATTATTTCACAATATATTGAAAGAGAGCCGAATGTTCAAGTCATTCACTTGCCTAGACCCACAAACACCACACCACTGGTAATTTGGTTTCATGCCCAAGCACCCTGGTGGGAAAACAGAGAGTATCTTTCTGTTTCTCTTTCCTCCAAGAGAAGACACACCCAAAGCAGCCTCACATATACCCCGAAGCCCCCAAATCACCCCTTCCACCATGTGAGAATTCTAATTTCTCCACAGTCAAGGTTAGAGAAAGGATCAGATTTTTAAGGACCCGAATATTTCTTCCTAAGACATCATCTCACTGATATTTTGCTTCGGGTAAAAGTTTTGGCCTTAAGCGGTGACTTACCAGGCTTGCACCTTCAGCTCCTTGGAGAGTCTCCTCTGTGGGTTGGAGGCTGTATCTGAACCGAACATGCACAGTGCATTCAGCTCCACCGCCTGGTGCTATGACTGCCTACTCCAGGGTCTCCACCACAGTGCAAATCCCAGTCCCTTCTCTCTGTAAAATCTTCACGTTAATTTCTTCATCTTCCTTCTCTCCTGCGTTTCAAGTCATGGATGAAAAACACACAATCTTAACCGACTTGTCAAGGAAAAGGCATAAAATGCACATGTAAACAAGCAAATTAGGAATTGTCAACTGTAAAATACCTTCGAAACATCTTTAGATAGGGGTATTAGCCCCTCTGCCTCCCTGCTTATTCATCTTTGGCAAGAGAGGTTTTCCAATACAGGAATGATACAAGTGCAGGAAGGGTCACTTCTGTTAGCCAGACAGAGAACGGGGAAGGATTCTAAAAGGAGCCAGAGGGTAATCGGACCCTTTGGCTCCAACAGCGAACCAAAGCACGCCACAGGAAGTGCACTGGCTAGCTAAAGTTAGAGCAACAGTGGCCTCTCACGGAGCCCCAGATGTCACACCGATTATGTACGGTGTGCTGACTTGTAATTGACTCTGACAGTCATTCAAGTTAAAATGTGGGATGAGAAGACTGTAATAGAAAAGGCATCTTAGGCGTTATTGTTTTATTTCTATAAGTAAGATCTCTTTCTGTTATAATCCTCTGTTCTTCCTTAGCAATGTTACCTACTCTCTCCTAGGGGAATCTATTGAATATATAATATATATTATATATATATTATATATATCTATTACATAGATATATATAATGCATATGCACTTGTTATAGAGAGAGACACAGGAAGCAAGAAGCCACTGCCCAGGGAAGATGGCCATGCCACAATCCCTTCTCTTCCATTCTCTTCTCAGACTTTGGGCTCACACACACACACACACTCTGGGCATGAGTTGGAAGGCTCAGATCCAGACTCAAACCACAGCTGACTACCTGGGAGTCCAACAACGTAACCATTATGCCATCTGCTGGTCCCTAGTTACTATTTTATTGTGAACAGTTACAAGGGACACGAGACATTTAAAGACTGTGAACAGCTGCATTTGAACTCATTTCCTCTTTCTTTCCCTAAATATGTTTTTCTCATCTTAGTAGTAGTAAAGGTTCATTGGCATATTTGAAAATTCCAGAAAAGTACAAAGTACAAAAACAGTAATACATATCAGTCACATTACCATCGGCCAGAAACTCTTAACTAGTTCTTCTTTTCATTCACATACTTATTGTTATAATATTTGGATAGTATTAGGTCCTTTTTGTGTGTGTATATATGTGTATGTGTGTATGTATGTGTGTGTGTGTGTGTGTGTGTGTGTATTTTTTTGTTTTGTTTTGTTTTTTAGAAAGAAATTTTTACTATTGGGTATGCGGGCTCACTGGAGAGACAAAGAGAGAGAACGTGAGAAATCACCTTCAAAGGGTGGATGGCCATGGCTCAATCTCTTCTCTTTCATTCTCTTCTCCAAGATTTTGGTCATACACGCGCACACTCCCAGTGTGAGTTTCAAGCCACCAGGTCCAGAATTCAAACCACGCTGGCCATGCCTAGCACCTTAACCACTGTACCGCCTGCTGCCCCTCTCCCCAATATTTTAAAGAAGCAAACATCCTCTACAGAGGTCCATCTTCTAAAAAATGAGTATCAAGGCTCAACCATGGCAGCACACAGGTAGCTTCGGAGGTCACACTGGGGGCCAGGGATCAGTTTCTGGGACAACCTGAACATGCCTGTAATCCAGCTAACAAGGAGGCCAGGGTGGAAGCAGCATGACATGGTGAGACCGTGTAAAAAATACCTATTTCTACCTCAATCTTTCTTTCCCTCTCTCACTTCGCCATAAAGGAAAAGGAAAATTAGTATCAACATGTGAATTTTTGCTTTTCTCTGTGTCTTTTTTAAAGCGATGTGAGCAAACAATCTTACAGTGTTTACTTGGACAATCTACATTTAAAAAACTCACAGGGACAAATCCTCCATTTCTGTAGAGAGCAGTTTGGACCACTTGGCACATAAAAACTAGGCAAGAATCCTGGGCACTGGGTGGTGAAAAATTTCCACTAATCACTACGTCCCTTTAGTTTCTTTTACGCCATTTGTGTGAACATGGGTATATGCTCAAAGTCTCAGAACGAGCTGATCCTAGAGAAAACCAGAGAGGCCATGCCCCATTTCCAGATTTGGTAATTATGAGGACATTAGGGACCTGGGTGTGCTTTGTCCAGTGACATAGCAGAGTGACACCCAGAACGTAGTGAAGCTAAGTGTGGGTGAGGCCAAGGTCCACTGTAGGGAGGAGAAAAGTATTTGAGTTCCCCGAACTCTGAGTGACATGCAGTTGATTGGAGGATAATAATAATAGATGGATAAATGTAAGATAAGATCAAAGATAAATAAAAATGAGTCATGTTTGACCTGTTTCTGAGAAACTTACAATGGTTTTCATTTTACATTATACTACAAGGTCATTTGAAATAACAGATTTAACAGAAAACTTTTAGTAAAGAATTTCCCACTTCATATTCCCTCAAATGAGTAGCCCTGTTGTCATCTATTAGCTGTTCACTAAGCAGAAAAACAGGGATTACCATAGATTAATATCAGGATTCTAATGATTCTGTGGGTTTTCAGTGGTTATGTTCTTCAAGGGTACACGTGTGGTCTCATTTCCCAGAAAGAGTTTATTTCATTATATCAACATTTATAAGACTCTCTTGCCACAGAGATGCCTCATGGTGTCACTGGAAGTCGACTTTCATTTATGACTGAACTCACATTCATGGAAAAGACTTCACGGTCCTAAGGAAAACCAAAAGGGGTCCTGGCAAAGGTCTCCTTGAAGTCAGCAAACCTACTGAAATACGTCGCACAAGACAGCATTGTTTGCGACCCTGACACGACTGTGCTCCTACCCACTTCCGGAGCTGATTCCACATTTGTCTGAGCTCCCAAAGGGCAGCCTACCTCGCAGCGAGTACTCTGGTCTCCTTCACTGAGGCAACTGCCTCTGCTGCCACTTCAATATCTGCTCGCTCTTCTGTGATAGTCACCTCACCCCTTGGCCAGGTATCAGATCTATTCGTTCTCCCCATATCACCTGAGTCTGATAGAGAAGCGTGACACCTCTCTAGTCATTGCTATTTTATTTTATTATTTATTTACTATTTTGTAGAGTGATTTTTGCTATAGGGCATGTGCACTTGTTAGAGAGACAGAGAGGCAGAAAGTGAGAAACCACTGCCCAGGGAAGAGGTGTCCAAGGATCGCCAAGGATGGCCATGCCGCAATCCCTTCTCCTCTTTCTCTTCTCAGACTTTGGGCTCAGATCCAGACTCAAACCACAGCTGACTACCTGGAAGTCCAGCAACGTAACCATTATGCCATCTGCTGGTCCCTAGTTACTATTTTATTTTGAACAGTTACAAGGGACACGAGACATTTAAAGACCGTAAACAACTGAATTTGAACTCATTTCAACTTTCCCTAAATATGTTTTTCTCATCTTAGTAGTAGTAAAGGTTCATTGGCACATCTGGAAATTCCAGAAAAGTCCAAAGTACAAAAACAGTAATACATATCAGTCACATTACCATCGGCCAGACACGACCACTCTTAACTGGTTCTTTCTGCATTTGCATATGTATTTTAATAATAGTTGGATGGCATTATGTCCTTTTATCCCCACCAAGTATTATATTTAAGAGTATTTATGTCCCCAGGACCGTCAAAGGTGGTTTTAATGTCTACATAATTCTCATAATTTCTTTAATTCTTGCCCATTGTATAACACAGCTGTAGATATTCTCCAGTTGTTGGTCATTTTATCTAATGTTGAGAACATCTTTCTTGCCATTTTAACATTGCTCTATCACACTAAGAGTGGTGACTCAACCTTACAGTTGTAACTACATACCCAGTTTCAGCACCCTGTGAGCTAAGTGCCTATCCCATCCTGTCTCAGGTGAGGGGCCCAGGGAGGGTCAGTGACCTGCAGGAAGCCATGTAACTGTTATCTAAGGTTTGGAATCCTTTGATTTTTTTTTCTCCCTTTCTTTATCTCTCACTCTCAATCTCATGCTAGCTTATTTTTGTAATTGCATTTTGTTGTTGTTGTTGTTGTTGTTAACCCACCCAGCTCCATTTTAAAAAAAAATTTTTTTTTATTGTGATTAAACCCACTCTTTTTGTTTTTTGGTTTTTCATTTTATTCACTAGCTCCTGCCACCCTATTCTAGTCCCTTCTACAGCCACACCCAAAAGCCATCCAGCTGGCCTCTAGCACCTCCTGGTTCCGATCCTTCTTGCCACACTATCAGATAATGTGTGTGAGTGTATGCATGTATTTTTTTTTTGTGATTACTATTTTTTAGTTTGGTATAGGGTACCTGTACTCACTGAAGAGAGTTAGAGAGAGAGGGAAAATGAGAAAGGATCCCGCTGGGCAATGGCTACACCACAATTCCATCTCCTTCATTTCTCCATCCTATCAGGATTCTGGGCATGTGCATGCGCACACACACACGCCTTGTGTGTTTTCAAGCCCCCAGTCCAGGACTCAAACCGTGCAGTTGGCCATGTGGGATCCAGCTGCCTTAACCTTCACTCACCGGCTGTCTCCAAATTGATCTTACTACACGTCGCTACTTGGTGCAAACGATCCATTGACTTCGTGGTGAAGCCCTGTGTGACAGCTGAGCGAGTCCCCTGCCTCACCCGCTTTTCCCATCCAACCTTTCCTCATCCACCCTCCCTTGGCCCAAGCTACCCGCCTTCTCTGGACATGACTTACTCCACTCAGAACAATCTTCTGTTCCCTCTTCTCTCTTCAATGTGTACTCTGTCCTTTAAGGCCAGTTCAAGTCTCGTTTATTCCACTAAATAGAATACCTTCCCATGTCTGAAATCATCCCATTTGAGTTAAATTCTGGATTTTGCCACTTTGCTGGGAGACTTGGGGCGAGTAACTAACCCCACTGAGACTATTTGTACATATGCAAACAAGAGTAATGAGATCAAAGTCAGCCCATTGGCCTCCCAGGATCCTAGGAAGGAGCAATACGCATTGCTGAGTGTTGGCGAGCTGCTAAGTGCTGTACACATGAGGGGAATATTTTGTTTGAATGGCATCAGCTTCTGTGTAGGGGGCTAGGGTTGTCTCATGGAGGGGGAGGTACAAACTGAGTTTCCGCTAATATCTGGGGCTCTGAACCATTTCAATATCCAGCCCACATAACATAGCATTGAAATACCTTCCGTCCCATCATAGCCTCTCATTATCTTACGGATATTGATCATTTTTTTCTCAGCATGGCTGTGATGTCTCTGAATGTCGTCCAGTGGCTATGTTACTTCTGTAACCTCCAGCACCCAGCACTGCGTGTTATCGTAACGACTTCTGGTCTAAATCTGGATGAGTCTCAGCTGGTAAGGCCTGGATGAGGTCACACTGGGATTCAGACAGCAGTGGAAGAGCTCGGGAAGCCTGAGCTTTCTAGAAGTTTCCTGGACCTGTGGGAGTCCTAGAAGGCTGGAATTAAGGTGAGCATCTACCCTGAGACGTCTAGGAAAATGTGCTGTCGGTGTGGATCTTGTCTCTTGGAGATGTTCACTGAGTTAGTAGGAGTTAGTACAAAATGGGACTAAGCAGGTTTTTTCAAAGGCAATTAAGAAGGAGAGACTAGTGAGTAAACAAGAGAAGCAGAGAGAAGCAAGGCTGTCCTGCCACATGTAACCCAGGCCTTTGGTCGCCACCATCAGAACGGGCTTCCTCCCAGTGCCGTGCTGTTAAAGAAGTTCTGCTGATCCTCTGCTTATAAGTTACTCATCTCATCTGAAATGCATCCCTCAGTTTTGATTATCTAATTCCTAGAACCCTCACGAACATTTTCCCTTCATAGGTCTACCCCTAGGAAAATCAGCTCTGGGATGGCCTCATAGCCTAGTGGTTAAGGAAGCCAGATTCCACTTTGCCAAGCCTGGTTCAAATCCCAGCTCCAGTGGCTTGAAATACATGCCAGGTGCCTATGCCTTCGACTCCAACTGGAGAAGAAAGGACTGCATCATGACCATGCCCCATTGAGGGGTGCTTCCTCTCACCCCCATCCCCATCTCCATCGCTGTAAAGCACACGCACCCTTTGCCAATTAAAAGAAGAGAAAAAAGAAAAGTGAGTTCTAAGCTTAAGGTTAGTGACAACACAGGGATAGGCTTGGAGCTGGAGTTAGGGATCTGTGTAGGTTCAGCGTTAGGTTTATGTTGTGGTCAGTGTTACATTAGGGTTCCGTTAGTACGAAGTTGAGATTGAAATTCAGGCTTCTGGTTAGCATTCATGCTAGAGTTAGTGCTATTGTTACCACTGGATTTAGGTTTGGGGTTAAAGTTAAGGCTACAGTTTGGGGTTAGAGTTAAGGTTAGGGTTTGGTTAGATTCTTAGACTCAAAAGACACTTACAAAAAGACATTCCCAAACATTCTACTTTTTCATTTTTACTCATTTTCTTGAGACTAATAAAAGCATTTTGAGGAGGAATCCTCACGTTATAGTATGCTAAGCCTAAATATACTCTGCTGCTTTCCATAGTTTATCAGGGTATTTTTAAAGCTCTAGTACCCAAAAGGCAAGCAACACCTTCAGTGTTGACACTGACGCCCTGCAGGTCAACTTGTGTGTCGAATCCACTTTGCACTGACCTCTCCCCTGACATCTCCAGCCTCAACATAAAAGCTGACAGCATTAGAGCAAATGCCCAGTAAACATTTCTTAAAATAAAGACGCTACATACTATTGAAGCACCAGTCTCTTGTTAAATACCACACACACACACACACACACACACACACACACACAAACACAAACACAATTTCACAATGCTTCCAAATTGTTAGATGTCACTCAAATACCTAGTTCTACCCCAGGCCTCTTTCTCAAACTACAAACTGGGATTCCAGTGGCCGAACGAAGTCCCCACCTGCACCTGAGCTCCAGCAGGTCCGAAAGTGAACCTTCATCTCCACAGCCCCCACCCACACACCTGCTGCTCCCTCTCTCTATTCCAGCACCACTGAGCACTCCACGCCTGAACCTCCACTCAACTCCCTCATCTTCCACCCTGCGGAAACAATGATCCCAGATGGCCTCTCCATCCTCTCTGCTGCTTTTGATTAGGCTCTTACCATCTCTTGCCTGAATCATTTGTAACAGCCTCTTAAATAACCTTTAAATAATTCTCTTCTCTTCAAGCGCTTCCTTGTCCAGTCTGCCCTCCCCACACTGTCACCAAAATGCCACATCTTTGTTAGATCAGTCATCAGCTGGAAAGCTCCTAGGTTCTGTTGAGAGATTTTTTGCTGAAAACTTTTGTATTTCTCTGTTACCCTAGAATGTTCCGGCTCCACCTTTGCAGCCCACCATGACTGGAACACCGACGGTTGAACTTACCATGCTTCATGACATCCGTTTCCCTTCAGTAGATAGTAACCTTCTCAGAGCTGAGTCCATCTCATTCGTTCCGGCACCACCAGTTTCCTGGACAGAGCCTGTCCCAGCGTGAGTGATCAGAAAATTTTGCTGAAAGAAAATAGCATACAGGACTAAGTGACTCTCACAGATCCTCTTTATGTATCAGTGTGTCCGGTCCCAAAATAAAACTTATGCTGTGTAAGGTTTCTTTAAAAAGCACAGCCTGCATCTTAACAGGAAGTTACAGATTAATAAACAGCTGACGGAACACACTGAGCAGCGTCCAGTGAGTCACCAGTGGACCTTTCGATTGCTGTTTCAACCGGTAACGGGGGAGAGAAGATCGGGACGAGACATTCCTCGTTGGCGGAAGGTTTTGCAGAGATGCTGCAAAGCTCTGGGATTCAGGTCATTGCCTATTTTACTGCTCTGGAGAAGTCCGGGAGCAGGAAACAGCCATAACAAAAGTAAATTTGGGAGGCGATGTGAATATGGAAACTGGATCAGTACCAGATCTGGGGCTGCGGGAGGTGCACGTATCCTGGTGTAACATAAAGCTTTGAGTGTGGTGTAGACTTAATTCTTGAGTTAATATTCATGAGGCTGTATGGTGCCTATGTGGACTATACCTTTTTAAGAATTATTTATTTGATTCCATTTATTATTATTATTTAATTTGGCCAGAGAGAGAGAAACAGAAAGGGAGAAAGAAAGCTGCCAGGTCCAGGACTCAAACCGTGGTCAGCCATGTGGGAATCCAGCGCCTTTAACCACCATGCCATATACCTGGTTTTGAAATCAACGGCCGTCAGCACTGCAGTACAACTATGAGGATGGGGGGCCCTGGGGAAGCTGGTTTCACAACTGTAAAACTGAAGAAGAGGTCATCTACTGGTCTTTATTACACAGCTAAAGGAACAGAGGCCAAGCCTTGGGCTCCGGCTGTCACAGCCGAGTCCTGCCACGGGGAGAACTTCTCAGAAGCAAATGCTAAACGCCAGCACCAGGGAAGGTAAGATCTGACTGAGAATGCCCCCGGCAGCATTTTCCAGGAAAGGGGTATGTGGCTGGAGGAAGTGGGGGGGGCTGGTGAGACACACTACACAGATGGCCAACGCCATACCACATGTGAAAATAGGACACTGGCCCTGACCCTGCAGCCACTTGAGCAGAAAGGCCAAGATGTTGTAACCAGCCCAGCACTAGAATAAATAAGAAATCCTAATACAAACTGCTGTTTTGTAAATTTACTTGGAGGATGCTTGTGTTGAGAAGGTCCAGTGACCTAAAGTTGACCCCCACTGCAGAGGGGAGGAAGGTGGGTGTGAAAATGCTGACTGCCTCACAGCCGCCAATCAGAACAAGACCAGTTTCCACCTTCATTTGCATAGAAAGCTTAATGGACCAGTGAGACTGCTGTTCACATAAACCAATCAGAACGGCACAAATTTCAATCTTTCATTTCACTAAAAGGACCTAACTGAAAACCTAATTAAAGGCAGGAATTACACTTCTGGAAAAGCCCATCCCTGATTCACATCCAAGGAGCAGCCTTCTGAGCAAGCTAGCTCTCTGTCCCCTGGTTGTCATCACCTGTGGAGAGCAGCCAATTTGGAAACGTGTGATAAAAAAATGTGGCCTGTAGACACATGCAGGAACACACTTCTGTAAGCTACTCTAGCAGGGCTATTGAAAAGCATCTACATATCAATGGTTATATTCCTGTTGCTCTTAACACCCAATACCCCAGTTGGGGCTATAAAAAGTCACATGCATTTATCAAATTGTCCCCCCCCAAAAAATCAGAGAAATTACATAATGCCAGTCATTTTCACATCTTCAGACAATTTACATCCCAAAACAACTGGCTTTACATTCCAATTCCTCCTCCCCTATTCTCCTTACATCCCACTTCCTTCTTCCCCATTCCCTTTGCATCCCACTTTCCCCTTCCTCCATTTTCTGCCCTTTAAAAAAGTAAACCTGAGACTAATTCTAGTCACAACTTCTGGAAGAGGCTGTGCCCACCCAATCCTCTCTTTTCTACACTTGTGTGTCTTTGTATGTTTATTATTACGTCCATTTCTAATCCACAGTCTTCCCCACTCAAAAAAAAAAACGTGTTCATGCCAAACTGGTTTTGTAGCTTACAAAAGTTTGTTTCTACATGTGTCTAGATGCCACATTTTTTTATCACCTGTTTTCAAATTGGTTACTCTCCACAATCACCTGCAATAAACCTTGCCTCTTTGATAATCAGCCACAAGAGATGGCCTTTTCTGGCAGTTCCAAGGTTGATTTAGTAACGATGTGATCATAACCATGAGCTCCCCAATGTTCGACCCCTCTCCTCATGCTCCCAACTCAAGACCAACCAGAGATAACCAAATACGATCCCCATTTCCCACATGGAGCCCAGCACAAGTGACAGTGGCTGACCCCTTTCCATGGGCGTTCTGGATAAACAGACTCTGCTGGCTCACATTTGGGTGGCGCTCACCCCCTGGCTCTGAAACACCTGGAGCACGTGTTCACCTGTGATGGGAGAAGGCCTGGGCTGTGCAGGGGGAGGTGGGAACAGGAAGGGGCAAGATTTCGAATTTGGTGGGAGTTACAGGGAGCAGATAGAAGCCACAGTGTGGCTTTCCCGGGGGCCCGGGGGAGAAGGCAGTGAAAGCAGAAGGAGGGGAAGTGATGTCGCTTGTTTCTCTGGAGGACCCTGGCTGAAATGCTGATCCCAGTGGTATAACTAGGAGTGATGTCTCAGGACAGATGCCAACACTGGAGCAGTCACTGGACCAACCATGGCTCAGGGTTAAAGAGAGGACGTTGGGTTTGTGATGGGAGCTGCAGGAACAGACACAGCTAAAGACGCTTCCAGTGTCGCTCTTACCAATGAGAACGTTGCGAGGATGGTTAAGGCTGCCACGTGGAGTCGACATGCTTACGGTCGCATCTCCAGATCCCTTCGGTTTTGGTTGCCGGTCAATGTGGGGGTCTTCACGGGAGCGTATGCTGTTCAGGGTGTGCAGTGAAAACTGTGCACATCTCGGGGCAGCTCTCAGAATGAGCCGCTGCTCGCCTTCGCCGGCTGCTGAAACACCCAGGAGTCGCTTTGCTTTGCAAAGTGTCTATTTCAATTACAAAGTCGATGTGTTTATAGTTTATTCTTAATTTTAGTCCTATGTTTGTTGCTGACATTCTTTATAATTTTTTTAAAAGTACATATACTTCTTTCATGAGAGTGAGAGAGAGAGAAGCACCTTCAACCGGTCTCACCCTGTGATTCCTTCCCCCCAGCCTTCCCAGCCAGACAGGATCATGGGAGTTCATGCGCGGCGAGGACAGGTAACCAGGGAAACGGTGACAGAGGCCCAGGCTCAGTCCTGGCCTTGCTACAGTGGCCGGTGTGACTTGGTGAACATTTCACTTCCTTGTTCCATGTCTAGTGAAGCCACTCCTTCTGTTTGTTCTTTTCAGCACGTAGACTCCTAAGTACAATAATGACCGAATGACCTGTAGGTGTAATCTTCTCTGCTGGGAAATGAAGGGGCCACGGGGACAAGTGAGAAGTGGCATCAGTGAACTGAATTTTCTTATGTTGGCTGTTCCATTTTTGTGTTTGAAAATAGACTGTGGTTCATTTTGTATAATGTTGCTAAATAATATGATTAAAAAGGCAAAAATTTAAAAAAAACAAAAACCAGCTTAAGAGGACTCAGCTGTGTCTGAGACCCAGCGAAGCACCAAGCAGCGGTACACCTTGTACTTGCGGGGCCGACAGCCTGGCAGGGAGTTCCCAGACCAGCCAGCGCC